ATATGTATAGAGGTCAGATTCATGTGGGTAATGTCACTGTTCACTGCCATGCAGGACAGAGGTTCGTACACAAAGAGATGCATCATATTCATTGACAGTACATATACATACATATACAGATTATACACACACACATACACATCTATATACACATACATATATACATATACACATACATATATACATATACATACATATACATATATATGCACATACATACATACATACATACATACACATACACACACATACATACATATACGTAGGTCAGATTCATGTGGGTAATGACCACCGAAGGGTCAAGACGTACCTGGCGCTCCTCTCGGAGCAGCCAGGTCAACTGTTAAGTTGGCCCATACCACCCCTCCCTGAACCCTCCTCCCCACCGGAATATCAACAAGTTCTCGCCAGAAGTTACAATTTCATTTAGGAAAGGAACGGAACCAGTGTTAAACAGAGGTGAACAGTGGTGAACAGTGCTTAAGTCAGTGAGAACAACTCAACAGTAACAGTCGTACCCAAGTTAACCTTCACACAGTGAGGTCCCAGGTACCAGTGATAACGGCCCGTGAGCCAACAACAACCAGCGATGTGTTAATCCGTCTTCGATAGGAAGGCCTAAGACCAAACTCTCCTACTTACCATCTGTGAGGGTATCCCACATGTCCCTCATAACTATGTGAGTACTACCCACGTCCAAGTCCTCATCACACCATCTGTGAGAATTACTACACCACGTGAGGTCCTCATAACACCATCTGTGAGGTACTACACCATCAGGCCCCTCATAACACCATCTGAGGGAATTACTACACCACAGTGCCCCTCATAACACCATCTGTGAGGGTTACTACACCACGTGAGGCCTCATAACACCATCTGTGAGGTAATTACTACACCACGCCAGGTCCTCCTTAACACCATCTGGGGGCTACTACACCACGTGAGTTCCTCTAACACCATCTGGGGGAGATTACTACACTACAAGTTTGCTGTTCAACACCTACATTAATCTGTATGTTCACTGTATGTTTCCTTTACCTTTCTCTAATAAAGGCTTTTAAACCACCAATGTATGTAATAAGTCATTTATTTTCAGCCTTCGGGCTGCATAATTTTCAATAAACCGTTAATTATTATATTATTATTATTATTGAAGTAATTGAGAGAGAGATGATTTATCGCCTCCCAGTGTGTTTATGGCTCAGGTCGTGACACAATTTTTAAGGACCTTCATCCCATTGTGGGCTGTCCCGACTTAGCATACTGATGGGTGGGATCACGCCTGCCCACCCAGAGGGCCTCGGCCACTGTCAGAACTGCACAGTCATGGCCCTTACCCGAGTACCCCCTAAAGGTCATGGCCCTTACCCGAGGACCCCCAAAGGTCATGGCCCTTACCCGAGTACTTCGAGAACCTCCTAGTGGTTACGTCTTTTGAATATGTTTCACTGTAGGAGATTAGCAAAGTCGTCCTCTCTTCCCCTTCTTCTATGGCAGCTAAATCAAGCCAAAGTCATGGTCCTCTCCTCCATGGTGCAAAGATCATGGCCCTTTCCTCCATGGTGCAAAGAACATGGCCCGAATTCTAGCTCTACACCACAAGATACAGGACCCTGAGGTCATGGTTTTCATCTGCATCATGGCCCCAATCGTCGTCCTGCCTTCATAATGGACCCCAGAGTCATATACCGTCCATGGTCCTCATTTATGACTCTATCCCATCCATGGTCCAACTACTCCAGTCGTATTCCTGCCCTCAAGATAGATACAAAACTCACGTTCTTGTCCCGTCATGGCAGCCCGTTATTGCCCCTTCCTTGGCTTTACCTCCTTCTGGCCTCCTGACATAGTCGTGCCCACCTCCACGGCTTCAGTTATGGCCCAGGAGGCCTCCTCAGGGGGCTCAAGGGATACTCTGTAGCTGCGGGTGTTTGGTTTATGTGGACATTATTGTAAAGGCGAGGCTGGTTGTTTATGGAGGCCATAAACAACGAGGTGTGGCGACGACAAGTACAGTGTGGCGAGGTGTGGCGACGACTTGTGGAGTGTGGCGACGACTTGTATAGTGTGGCGAGGTGTGGCAACGACTTGTATAGTGTGGTGAGGTGTGGCGACGACAAATAGTATGGCGAGGTGTGGCGACGACGTGCAGTGTGGCGAGGACTTGCAAGTGTGGCGAGCTGTGGCGACGACCTGTATAGTGTGGCGAGGTGTGGCGGACTTGCATAGTGTGGTGAAGTGTGGCGACGACTTGTGGCGGGTGTGGCGACGACGTATAGTGTGGCGACGACGTGGGTGTGGCGAGGTGTGGCGACAACTGTATAGTGTGGCGGTGTGGCGACTTGTGGTATGACAACGACGTGAGGTGTGGCGACGACTTGGAGGTGTGGTGACGACTTGTGGGTGTGGCGAGGACTTGCATAGTGTGGTCAAGTGTGGCAACGACTTGTATAGTGTGGCGAGGTGTGGCGACGACGTGGGTGTGGCGAGGTTTGGTGACGACTTGTATTGTGGGCGGTGTGGCGACAACTGCGGGTGTGGCGACGACATGGTGTGGCGAGGTGTGGCGACGACTTGTGGGTGTGGCGAGGTGGGCGACGACTTGTGGCGTGTGGCGAGGTGTGGTGACAATTGTGTTTGTGTGTGGCGAAGTGTGGCGACAACGCTGGAGGTGTGGCGACGACATGTATAGTGTGGCGGGTGGCGACGACTTGTGGAGTGTGGCGAGGTGTGGCTACGACTTGTGGGTGTGGCGAGTTGTGGTGACGACTTGTATAGTGTGGCGGGTGTGGCGTGGAGTGTGGCGGTGTGGCGACGGTATAGTGTGGCGAGGTGGCGACGTCTTGTATAGTGTGGCGAGGTGTGGTGGCGACGTATAGTGTGGCGAGGTGTGGCGACAACTTGTATAGTGTGGCGAGGTGTGGCGACGTATAGTGTGGCGAGGTGTGGTGACGACTTGTATAGTGTGGCGAGGTGTGGCGACGACTTGTATAGTGTGGCGAGGTGTGGTGACGACTTGTTGAGTGTGGCGAGGACTCATACAGTGTAGCAGGGTGTGGCGAGAACTCATATACCTTCAGTAGGTTTAGTTATAATACAGTACGGTGTGGCTCCTGAGGTAGTAAACTGAACCTGAAAAAAATTGTTGTACTGAGATGTCTGTTCAGGAGTATTTTTGTAAGAAATTAAATTACTGTCCTCGTGTATGTACTGTACAGGACGCGTTAAAATTTATTATTATTATTATTATTATTATTATTATTATTATTCTTATTTTATTATTATTATTATTATTATTATTATTATTATTATTATTATTATTATTATTATTATTATTATTATTATTAATGCTTGACCTGAGTTGGTCCACCGATCACCCCGAAACTTGGCATGACTACTAAACGTAGATTAAGAAAGGTTCATGTACAACGCAAAATCTATTAACGTGTCCCCTGGGAGAGTTAGCACAGAAAATGGATTACTCACACGTGGGGGATATTTAGGAGGATAAAGGCGGAACTCTTGTAAAAGTGAATAGTGTTGTTATAATGTTATTAGTGTGCTTAAACAAATAACGTATTTAAGTGCACAACAAGGTTAATAAATATGCTATTCTGTCAACAATTAAAGAATATGAGAGATAAAACTTGGTATTATTATTATTATTATTATTATTATTATTATTATTATTATTATTATTATTATTATTATTATTAATATTATTATTATTATTATTATTATTATTATTATTATTATTATTATTATTATTATTATTATTATTATAGTAGCAATTAACTGGAGGATGAGTTGGTTTAATCATTTAAGAAGACTACTGAGATGCCCTTGTTAGGTAACGATCATTGACACAGATATCAGCATAACTGAATCGAGGAAGATAGAGCAATGCCAGATGTTCTCTCTTTCTGTTAGTTAACTGATCACTTGACTGAACCACTGTTCAATAGTAGAGTCAAGGCACCAATGACTTTTGGAGTTTAGGGGGTCCCTTTTTGTGGGGTGGGGGCGCTAGGGTTATAATCATTGTTCCGACCAGGCCAGGCGGGAGGATGTAGTGATGAGAGAGAGAGAGAGAGACAGATCATCTACAGTACATATGGCCAGTTTTAGTGGAATTTCGCCCCAGGAAGGTATAAGTGGTGTTATGTACACAATATGTGTGGATGAGTCGCATATGAACAGATGGTTCCACTCTGTTGGTTGCGGCAGAGATAATGTCCATTGTTATTGATCTACAAGTGTGGTATTTGTAGAAAGTGGATTACTGTAGTGATGTGGTGTGGGAAGTGCTTGAGGAAGGCGAGGATCTTTATTTTTTTTGGGGGATTAGCCCACCCTGGCACAGGTCACTGACCCAACAGGGCCAATGTAATAATAATAATAATAATAATAATAATAATAAAAATAATAATAATAATAATAATAATAATAATAACAACAATAATAATAATAATAAAGAACTAAAAGAAAAAAATAAAGATCAAAAGTGAGAAACAATATATATATGTTGTGTTGTCGATAGTAAGTGAAACAATTGAGACCCTGCAATTGTGTGTAAATGAGGCAGAAAGTCAGATTAGTAACCTGAGACTTGGTCACAATTGCTGTGTTAAAGAATTCACATTAAGTTGAGGCTTTGTACGACTATATCGCCTTTAGATTTAACTTGTTTTCAATCTGCTGTTAGTGCTTCAGAATCACCAGCGTTACTCAGGAATCAGAGTTAAAAACAACAACAGCAAAATTCTAGGGATGTAAACACCCTGATGCCCGGCTTTCATGCTGGTACGGTGGTAACGTGTGTATCTCTTACTACCGTGTCCCAGGTTCGAGTGTGAGCATATATGGAGCTGGTCATTTAACACCATCTTAACGTTGTGGTAAATGAAGAAGTATACTAGTGAAGTGCAGTGTTGGGGGTGGATGACAGCGCCTCAGTTATCAGGTTCAGAACTAACAGGTATTTTGGTCTCCCTTAGGTGTGTGTGGCGGGTCCTGCTGCTCTCCACACTGCTCGCTGCCCTCCTGGTAAGTACTGGTTATCTGTGTCCTGCTTCCCCACCTGTGTCCTGCCTACTCCCCACCTGTCCTCACTACCCCTCTTGTCCTGCCTACCCCCACGTGCCCTGCTTACCCCCACCTGTGCCTGCTTACCCCACCTGTGCCCTGCTTACCCCCACCTGTGCCATGCCTACCCCCACCTGTTTTCCCTAGCCCCACCTGTGTCCTGACTACCCCCACTTGTGCCTGCCTACCCAGACCTGTGCCTTGCCTACCCCACCTGTGTCCTGCCTACGACCTGTGTCCTGCCTACCCCCACTTATGTCGCCTACACCCACCTGTGTCCTGCCTACCGACCTGTCTGCCTACCCCCCTGTCTGCCTATCGACCTATGTCCTGCCTACCCCCAATTGTGTCCTGCCTACCCCCAATTGTGTCCTGCCCTCACCTGTGTCCTGCCGACCCCCACCGTCCTGCCGACCCCCCACCTGTGCCCTGCCTACCCCCACCTGTGTCCTGTCTACCCCTACCTGTGTCCTGCCTACCCCACTTGTCCTGCCTACTCACCCCCACCTGTGTCCTGCCTACCACGACCTGTGTCCTGCCTACCCCCACTTATGTCCTGCCTACACCCACCTGTGTCCTGCCTACCACGACCTGTGTCCTGCCTACCCCACCTGTGTCCTGCCTACCCCCACTTATGTCCTGCACACCCACCTGTGTCACCACGACCTGTGTCCTGCCTACCCCCCACTTATGTCCTGCACCACCTGTGTCCTGCCTACCGACCTGTGTCTACCCCCGTGTCCTGCCTATCACGACCTATGTCTACCCCCAATTGTGTCCTGCCTACCCTCACCTGTGTCCTGCCTACCGACCTGTGTCCTGCCACCCCCGGTGTCCTGCCTATCACGACCTATGTCACCTACCCCACCTGTGTCCTGCCTGCCCACTTGTGTCCTGCCAAACCCTCACCTGTGTCCTGCCGACCCCCACCTGTGTCCTGCCAGGCCCCCACCTGTGTCCTACCTACCCCCACCTGTGTCTTGCCTACCCCCACCTGTCTTGCCTACCCCCGACTTGTGCCTGCCGGCCCCACCTGTGTCGTGCCGACCCCACCTGTGTCCTGCCGACCCCCACCTGTGTCCTGCTTGCCCCCAATTGTGTCCTGCCGACCCCCACTGTGTCTGCCGACCCCCACCTGTGTCCTGCCGACCCCACCTGCGTCCTGCCACTACCGTCCTGCCGACCCCACTTGTGTCCTGCCTACCGACCTGTGTCCTGCCTTGCCACTTGTATCCTGCCTACCCCACCTGCCCTACCTACCCCCCCTGTGCCCTGCCTACCCCACCTGTGCCTGCCGACCCACCTGTGTCCTGCCTACCCCCACCTGTGTCCTGCCACCCCAATTGTCCTACCTACCCCCACCTGTGCCTGGACCCCCACCTGTGTCCTGCCTGCCCCCACCTGTGTCTGCCTACCCCAATTGTGTCCTGCCATTCCCCCACCTGCGTCCTGACCCCCACTGTGTCCTGCCTACCCCCCACCTGTGTCCTACCTACCCTCACCTGTGTCCTGCCGACCCCACCTGTGCCCTGCCTACCCCCACCTGTGTCCTGCCTGCCCCCACCTGTGTCCCACCTACCCTCACCTGTGTCCTGCTGACCCCCACCTGCGTCCTGCCAGGCCCCCACCTGTGTCCTGCCGACCCCCCACCTGCGTCCTGCCGACCCCCACCTGTGCCCTGCCTACCCCCCACCTGTGTCCTGCCTACCCCAATTGTCTGGACCCCACCTGTGTCCTGCCCTTCCTTGTCTTGCCTACCCCAATTGTCTGCCGACCCCCACCTGCCGACCCCCACCTGTGTCCTGCCTACCCCCACCTGTGTCCTACCTACCCTCACCTGTCCTGCCGACCCCCCACCTGTCCTGCCTACCCCACCTGTGTCCTGCCTACCCCCCACCTGTGTCCTACCTACCCTCACCTGTGTCCTGCTTACCTGCGTCTGCCGACCCCACCTGTGTCCTGCCACCACGTCCTGCCGACCCCACCTGTGCCCTGCCTGCCCCCACCACCTGTGTCCTGCCTACCCCCACCTGTGTCCTGCCCCACCGCTACCCTCACCTGTGTCCCGCCCCCACCCCTGCCGACCCCACCTGTGTCCTGCCTACCCCCACCTGTGTCCTGCCTACCCCCAATCCCCCCACCTGTGCCCTACCCCACCTGTTCCTACCCCCTGTGTCCTCCCCACCTGTCTGCCCCACCGTCTCGACCCCCACCTGTGTCCTGTCCCCCACACTGTGTCCTGCCGACCCCCACCTGTGCCTGCCTACCCCACCTGTGTCCTGCCCCCCACCTGTGTCCCTGCACCACCCTCACCTGTGTCCTGTGACCCCCACCTGCGTCTGCCGACCCCACCTGTGTCCTGCCGACCCCCACCTGCGTCCTGCCGACCCCCACCTGTGTCTGCCGACCCCCCACCTGTGCCTGCCGACCCCCACCTGTGTCGTCTGACCCCACCTATGCCCTGCCTACCCCCACCTGTGTCCTGCCATTACACCTGTGTCCTGCCGACCCTCACCTGTGTCCTGCCGACCCTCACCTGTGTCCCTGCCGACCCCCACCTGTCCTGCCGACCCCACCTGTGTCCTGCCGGCCACCTGTGTCCCCCACCTGTGCCCTGCCGACCCCCACCTGTGTCCTGCCCCACCTGTGTCCTGCCAGGCCCTCACCTGTGTCCCCCCATGCCTAGCCCCCACCTGTGTCCTGCCACCCCACCTGGTCGCTCACCTGCTGCGACCCCCACCTGTGTCTGCCGACCCTCACCTGTGTCCTGCTGACACCCACCTGTGCCCTGCCGACCCCCACCTGTGTCCTGCCGACCCCCACCTGCGTCCTGCCGACCCCACCTGTGTCCTGCTGACCCCACCTGCCTGCCACCCCCACCTGTGTCCTGCCGACCCCCACCTGTGCCCTGCCGACCCCCACCTGTGTCCTGCCGACCCCCACCTGCGTCTGCCGGCCCCCACCTGCGTCCTGCCGACCCCCACCTGTGCCCTGCCTACCCCCACCTGTGTCCTGCCTACCCCCACCTGTGTCCTGCCGACCCTCACCTGTGTCCTGCCGACCCTCACCTGTGTCCTGCCTACCCCACCTGTCCCTGCCGACCCCCCACCTGTGTCTGCGACCCCCACCTGTGTCCTGCTGACCCCACCTGAGCCCTGCTGACCCCACCTGTGTCTGCCTAACCCCCACCTGTGCCCTGCCGACCCCCACCTGTGCCCTGCCTACCCCCACCTGTGTCCTGCCCCACCTGCGTCCTGCCGACCCCCACCTGTGTCCTGCCGACCCCCACCTGCGTCCTGCCGACCCCCACCTGTGTCCTGCGACCCCCCACCTGCCCTGCCGACCCCCACCTGTGTCCTGCCTGACCCCACCTGTGCCCTGCCTACCCCACCTGTGTCCTGCCGACCCCCACCTGTGTCCTGCCTACCCCCACCTGTGTCCTGCCGACCCCACCTGTGTCCACCGACCCCACCTGTGTCCGCCCCACCTGCCGACCCCCCACCTGTGTCCTGTGGCCCCACCTGTGTCCCTTCTCCCCACCTGTGTCCTGCCGACCCCCACCTGTGCCCTGCCTACCCCCACCTGTGTCCTGCCGACCCCACCTGTGTCCTGCCTACCCCACCTGTGTCCCAAGCCCCCACCTGTCCTGCCACCTCACCTGTCCTGCCTCCCCCCACCTGTGTCACCTACCCTCACCTGTCCGCCTGCACCCCCCACCGTCCTGCCGACCCCCCACCTGTGTCACCGACCCCCAACCTTGTCCTGCCTACCATACTGTGTCACTGCCTACACACTGTGTCTGCCTACCCCCAACCTGTGTCCTGCCTGCCCCCACCTCTCATGACCTCCTCCTCCACTCCTGCCTCCTCCTCTGCCTCCCCTCCCTCCTGCCTCCCCTCCCTCTGCCTCCTCTACTCCTGCCTCCCCTCTTCTCCCTGCCTCTCCCTCTACTCCTGCCTCCCCTCTGCTTCTGCCTCCCCTCTCACTCCTGCCTCCCTCCTCCTGCCTCCCCTCCACTCCTACCTCCCCCTCACTCCTGCCTCCCTCGCTCTTGCCCCCTCCTCCTGCCCCCCTCCACTCCTGCCTCCCCTCCACTACCTGCCTCCCCTCCCTCCCCTGCCTCCTCCACTCCTGCCTCCCCCTCCACTCCTGCCTCCCCTCCACCTGCCTCCCCTCCTCCTGCCTCCTCTACTCCTGCCTCCCCTCCACTCCTGCCTCTCCTCCACTCCTGCCTCCCCTCCCTCTGCCTCCCCCTCCCTCCTGCCTCTCCTTCACTCCTGCCTCCTCCACTCCTGCCTCCCCTCTCTCCTGCCTCCCCTCCCTCCTGCCTCCCCCTCCCTCCTGCCTCTCCCTCTACTCCTGCCTCCCCCTCCCACTCCCTCCCCCCTCTCCTCTGCCTCCCCCCTCTCTCCCACCTCCCCCCTCCACTCTGCCTCTCCCTCCTCCTGCCTCTCCCCCCTCCACTCCTGCCTCCCCTCACTCCTGCCTCTCCCCACTGCCTCCCCCTCACTCCCTGCCTCCCCTCACTCCTGCCTCCCCTCACTCCTGCCTCCCCCCTCACTCCTGCCTCCCCTCCTCCTGCCTCCCCTCCTCCTGCCTCTCTCTCCCTCCTGCCTCCCCTCCACTCCTGCCTCCTCTGCTCCTGCCTCCTCCATCTGCCTCCCCTCCTCCTGCCTCCCCTCCCTGCCTCCCCTCCTCCTGCCTCCCCTCCACTGCCTCCCCTCCCACTCTGCCTCTCTATCACTCCTGCTCCCCTCCACTCCTGCCTCCCTCTGCTCCTGCCCATCCCTCCTCAGCCTCCCCTCCCTCCTGCCTGCCCCTTCCTCATGCCTCCCCCCTCCCCTGCCCTCTCCTCCACTCCTGCCCATCCCTCCACTCCTGCCTCCCCTCCCTCCTGCCTCCCCTCCCTCCTGCCTCCTCCTCCCTCCTGCCTCTCCCTCTACTGCCTCCCCTCCACTCCT